CCTCACTGTTAGGTTTTGCGTACGGCCCGAATTCGGGCCGGCGCGAAAGCTCATCAGCGACGACATTAAGTCGCCCTGGTTTATACTCCACGGAGAAGTTATACTCCGCGAAGAAAGACATCCACCTCGCTATCCTTTGCGAGAGGTGTGGGCTGTTTACGGCCGTGAGTAGTGACGCATGGTCCGTATAGACAACAAACGGTCTATCTCCCAAGAGATAGACGCGAAACTTAGCCAGTGCGTACTTCATGGCAAGGAGTTCCTTGTCATGCACTGGGTAATTGCGCTCAGCTTCTTGCAACTGACTCGACCGATAACAAATGACGCGCTCCGCGCCATCTGCGTCGAACTGCATTAACGCACATCCGATTGCAAAATCGCTGGCGCCGCAGACCATATGAAATGGTCTGTCCTGATCTGAAATCGCCAAGATCGGCGATTGCATCAAGCTTTGCTTGATACCCGCAAAGGAACGCTGGCACTCAGCGTTCCATGACCACTTGACATTATTTTTGAGCAAGCAAGAACGATGAACAGTCATCTCGGCGTAGTTGCGCGAGTAATTGTGCAAGTACGTCGCTAGTCCAAGGAACTTCCTTAGTCCCTTGACATCGACTGGCACTGGCCAGTCGGTGATCGCCTTGATCTTTTCGGGATCAGGGCGTACGCCGTGTTTGCCCACGATGCACCCAAGAAGTGGTATTTTGCTAGCCGCGAATATACACTTCTTGAGGTTTTCGTACAACTTATACTTGCGCATAAGTTGAAGAACCTGACGAACGTGAGTTCTGTGAACTTCAACGTCCGTCTTTCCGTCCATAGCCCGGCTATGGACGAACACATCGTCGAAGTAACTCGGTGCGAAGTCTCGCAACGGTCTCAACAGATTTGTAACACATCTGTTGAAAGTAGCAGGGGCATTGCTCAGCCCTGTGGCATCACTAGCCACTCCCACAGCATCCCGCTGGGGGTGCTCACTGCTGTGTACGGGATGTCCCGTTCACGCACGAGGATCTGATAGAATCCGTACATCAGATCCATGGACGAAAAGATGGTACTCTTTGACATACCATCTATGATTACGTCGTTTCTTGGTATCGACGTCCAAGCCGGTACCTTTGCAGCATTCAACTTGTTGAACGCGTGCACTATCCGCCATCCTCCTATGGCCTTTCGCACACAGAAGGTCGGAGAGCTGTGAGGGGATGTTGATTCCCTCACATGGCCCGCTGCTAAGCGATCGGCAAATAACTTGTCGATCGCTAGTACTTGTTTACGAGGCAGTGGCTACTGCTTCATGACACAGTACTTCGAGCCCGTTTTGAGCTCGATCTCGTGTCGAGTGCCTTTGTCCTTAGGCAACTCGCAAGGCACGGATTCAGGGAACACATCCCTGAATTCGATCAAATCCTTATACAAAGGATTTGCCTGAAGTGACTCCCATGATTGGGACGCGTATCGCTCAATCCGAGTCTTCTCATCGAGGACAGTTTTGTCCATCGATGAGCTGCTGAGAACCCGTTCGTTCTCAGCAAATACTGTTGCCGACCGAATGTCGGTCACATACTCATCCTCTGTGACGAGTATGCAGATCTGCTTGACTTTGCCACTACGCAGATCACGCAAGAACCGTTTCGGTTCTAGCGTTGGCAACTGAGTTATCTCCGAAGTTAACTTCGGAGGCACAATCAGATCAAGCGTATAAGCACCTACGCTTGATCCGTCATTAACCAAGACGTTCAACGTCTCGGTTTCTTCCTGGGATCTTGCTTCAACAGGCTGCTGAGGGCCTGATCCCTCAGCAAGCAACTCTTGAGGAACTCCTTCCTCAAGTACGTGGGGACTTATTCCCTCGACGTCTTCCGACTGTGGCTGTGCAACCACAGTCAGGCACCGATCCTCTACGGTCGACTTTCCAGTCGGCCTAGGATTTTCATGTTGCCCCTTGGGGGCAACAGGTTTCTTATTTCTAAGATGCTGCCCGCTAGGCATGCATCCATGTCCCGGTCCACTCGACTTATTCGAGTGGTGGACCTTCGGCGCAGCCTGTACATCTGTACAGCCGCCGGGAGCTTGCTCCACAGTGTAGTGATCAACTACACTGTGATCTTGTGCAGTCGTGCTAACGACCGTACCGCAAGTGAGGCCATCGCACTCACTCGCAGAACATCCACACGCTTGTGGACGCTCCAAGATGTTCATCAGATGGCCATATGATGAACAAGCGGCAGGCATCTTCACGGATCGATGCTGCCAGCTCACCCTTGGCTCGTATTTTCTGAGCCAAGGTAATCCCAGGATGACATCAAATTTGTCATCCAGATCTAGTACGATGAAATCATCATCGTACTGCTCGCCCTCTAACGTGTAGTGGATTCCTACTACACGTTTCTCAACGGTTATCGATGCGCCTGTTGCAAGGCGCACCGTCATCCTTGTGAGGGGAATGTCGCGCTCAACGAACTTGAGCCTACGACCCTCTAGTGACTGGCGACGAACAAAGTTTTTCGACGCCCCACAGTCTACTAGGGCACGAAGCGACAAGTCATTTGTCGCTTCCAACTTCAAGGTGATGAGCGAAACGTCATCACCAGGTGCAGAGACACACAATGATTGTGTATCTGGAGCAACTTTCGTCAAGAGGTTTGCAAATTCTCTTGAGGTTGCTGGATCAGTAGGGCGCTCCGCCCCTACTGACCCCGACCATTTTTTTATGGTCCGTCTCGCTTATGCGGCTTCGCAACAGCGCTGAACCCACGCCTATTGCTCTTCTTGGCGAATGGTCGTCCATTTCGCTCAGAATTGTTTGGTACTGGGCGTGGAGCACTACACTCGTATGCGTAGTGCCCTAACTTGTGACAGCGATTGCACTTCTGCAATCGCTTGTTGTTTGAAGAGCGAGGTCTCTCGCTCTCAACATAGCAGAGGTCCATTGGTTCTGGACCTCCAATCTCTTGTCGTCTCGGTGGACGATAAGAGTTTGAGCTAGTATGAGCCTGTCTCATGCTAAATTCTTCCTGTTCCGCGGCTGATATCGCATCTTCCAGCGTATTCAGCTCAAGGCGAAACAGGTGGCTCCTGACGGGCCCCTCTGCGAGCCCTTGCATGAACACCGTAATCAACGTGTGTTCATGGACTGGGTTAGCAGTTATACTACTCGCAAGGAGTCGTATATGTTGTGCGTAAGCGTGCACATCAAGCTTACCCTGCTTGAGTTTCAGGAGCTCTGAACGAGCCCTGAACTCAGCCCGTGGCGGCTCAAACGTTTGCCTGAGCCGGGACTTGAAGTCCTCTAGCGACCTAAAAACATTGTGGGTCGCTACTCTCGAGTCCCAGGGACCAAGTTTTGGCACGTCCTGCCAAGTGGGTTTGAGCAAATGTGAGTTTCATTTGCTCATCTTCGACGCGACGAGCCCTTAGGGCTCTGTCGAGTTCGACAAACCATAGTAACAGGGAGTCCTCCGGGACTCCACTGTACTTGGAGATGTCAACCTTCATGACCTCGGGACGACGCGCATGCGCCGTCCCGCCCACAGCAGCATGGAATTGCAGCTGTCTCAACAGCTCCGTCTGTTGAGCACCGAGTTCTCTCAACTGCTCGGCCTGTTGAGAGCCTTGCTGGTGAAGCAAGGCTACTTTGTCCCTCTCGAGAGCAAGTTCATTCTGAATGAACTTGGCAATAGCGGCATGTTGTTGGTCTCTGTCTAGAGACTCCAACATGGTGATAAGGACGAGTTCGCCTACGGTAGAACTCATTCGTTCTACCGCACCCCATTCGATGTCACTCAAATGGGTAAACCCTTCACGCGTGGCGTGAGAGGTGTCTTCTTCATCCAGCATGAACATGTTGGATGATGTGGTCCTTGGAAGGACTACAAAGTGCTACCAGGTGTAACGGGGCACATCCTTGCGTAACTTGACGCAAGGGTTTTGGATGCCCCGACAGACGTACACGTGGCAAGCGAGGAAGCGTAGGTAGGGTAAAAGTAGAACTGTTATATTAATATAATTAAGTCTTTAAACTACTGTCTCTCTGTTTGACTTAGCTTACCTATACTAGTATAGCTGGGTGTATGGTGACGTCTCGTCACCACTCATTGCGCGCGTCTTGCGGCGATTGGTGGGTTGATATCATCACGATATCAACCAATGAACAGACCCTTTGGTCGACCCTTCAATATCACCACTTTGGTGATACTGTTTAAAGAATATTCAACTTATAATTCTTTATTGTCATTGTTTCTTTAAAGTGACAATTTCATGTAACGGGCTGCCCCGTTACAAAAGGAGCGTGAGGGAACGGATGTCCAATCGGAAAGTAGCACTTGTCGCCATAGGTCTATCGATCAATGCCTTGCGTGATACCTGCTCCCTGTACCGCAGCAAGTCAGCAGGCTGCTAGTTAAGTTATACTGAACCTTTTACTGGACGTTCGCGACGCTCACAAACCCGATTATTCGTCAGCTTGTGGCCATTGGTCATTTTCCTTACCGTCATAACAGACTATCGACGACGATAGCGTTTTCACGCGCTTCGTAGCGCTAAAAGCGTAAAACTACAATCACTCACAAGGTGTACCGCCCATCTTGACAATGGCTTTTATCACTTTGCATCACCGAACAATACTGCTGGACGTGCAATTTGGAAACTTACCAAGGTTGTAGGTCGCTCGATGGAGGACAACTTATCCGGGGAATACTGTATCTGGTACCATGTCGTGAGGATAAGATTCATAGTCAAGCCGAACACAAATGTTATTAACATTTACAACAAACATATCTGTAACTACAAAGCAAGAGAACAGACTCTCGTCACCAGCTACGTACAATCTAGAACTTAAAGCGCCGTAAAAACATTGTATGGTGGAAACTCCGGGGTAACAAAACGCGTAGTGTGTCCACGAATCTGACGAAACCTTCAGCTCTTGTGCTATGAATAGAAACCTTTTACATGCGGTATTGTGTGCAGCGATGGATACTTTTGCGTAAGTTACACTGCAGTCAAAAGAGATCGGGCACTGTCGGCACCTGCGACACCTCGCCACCTGCAAGACGCAAAAGCCACCTGCGAACAACGTCTTCAAGAGCTCGACGGTCTTCGTTACTGCTAGTGCGTGCAGGCAGCAACGAACACTTTTTGCCTTTGTAACTGAATCCCACGACAAACGCTGTGCAGCCCAGTCGTCGTCACAACATCGATCAGAAGATACGATTTACATATAGATGAAAACAGAGATGGAAGCGTACGTGCTGATGCCTTTCCGAATTGTGCTTCCCAGCGCATACGCTTCCCAATAGTCTGCGTCTTCAAGTCCAGCCAGCAAAACGTAAGAGGGTCGCGCCGAAACTCAGTCGCAAGTGTCTCGATGACACTGAGCTGGTCTGCACACAAGTAGCAGCAACCGCTTAGTCATGCAAGCACCACCTTACCCACTCAGCCATCCACAGAAGATCGAATCTCACGAACCTCGCACACTGCATCCATGTCGCGCATCGTCCGGAAAAAACACCAGCGTCCGTCGCCCTCTGGCCGTCAAGTAAAGCGGATGCAGCTCGTAAATCGATGGCGCAAAGATCTTGGCGAGCTGTTGCAACGGAACTTCTTGCTTAGCCTCCTCCTACCAGCGCATCAAATCGAAGCTCATTAACACCAAATGCCAACAACACCTCGTCCGTCAAAGTTTGCATCACCTGCGTTGACGTCGATCGTGCATCTTCCTGCACATCATTAGTCCCTGTTGCATTGGCTCCCCATTGCAGCAATCCCGCGATCACGGCAAGCAAAAGCATGCAGAAGAAGGGCGTCGTCAAGTGCGTCAGGTCCCATCGCTGCTGGTACTGGTACCGATACTGATTGTCATGACGCCACTTGTAGTTTTGACGATGCTGCTGCTGACGGTACGAGCTGTGCTGCCGTTGACGTCGATCTGGTTCAGAAGCTGCCGGGGCGCTCGTCAGTCGGTCGTACGCGTCTTTAACGCGCATGAACTGCTGCTCGGCTCGCGGGTTGCCCGGGTTCTTGTCCGGGTGCCACTTGAGCGCGAGCACGTGGTACGCTTTGCGAACCTCTGCATCGGACGCTGTCCGCTTCACCCCCAGCACTGCGTACGGATCGTCGCCAGCGACGAGGAGCCCCAGTAGCACGAGCACGAGCACCGGCAGCAGGAGCCGCCTCATGGCTACGAGGAGCGCGATGCGTCATGGACCGCTAGTTGCGCGTGGACCACATAAATATACTCTAAAATAGTGTGGTGCACGTGAAACAACGAGTATCCGCAGCCCGCGGCATCTGTGGCATGGACGACGAGCGCTTGTCGAGCGTCGACCAGTTCCTGCGGGAGAACGGCTTCAGCATCTCCGACTCGGCACTGGCGATCGCGTCGCTCAGTGATGACGACATTCTGGACGACGACCTCCTGCTCAGTGCGGCCGACGCGTACCCAACGCCGTCCGGTTGCAGTCGAAGGAGCAGTAGCAGCAGCAGCAGCAGTAGCAACGCGACGGATCCGCCGCGTTTCATGCTCTTGGACGACGAGAGTTTGCTGACGGAGCGACAAGACGACGAGCGACTGAGTGGAGACAGGACAAGTGAACGGCCGGAAGACGACGGGGCGGTCAGATTTGCACGGCACGAGCATGAAGCCCCAGCAGAGGCCGAGTTGCTGGACCAGTCGAGCGGCATGGAGCGCTATGAGTTTATACTGTCGAGTTCTGCTGCTGCTGCTGCTGCCGCATCTCATGGAAATGGCACCCAAGCGATGGACAACGCGCGGTCCCGTCTACCGTCGTCCGTGGCCTCGTCGTCGTCACAGCCGAGAGGGGACGACAACGACGATGGCGCGTGCGTTGCCATGGTGTCTGAAGCGTCGTCGGCGTCGTTGCCGTCGTCGCGGCCACTTTTGTGGCGCTCGTGTCCGTCTCGATCGTCGGGCGACCGTGAGCTGGACGATGAGCTGAACGACGCACTGGGTGTATCTAGTGTGGTAAAGAATGGTGCAGAGAGACTGGGGTTGTTGATGGAAAGGTCGAGGCAAGAGGAGGCTGAAGAGCAGAATGGAGCTAGTGGTGTAGGTAGTGGCCCATCCATGTGTCACTCTCGTTCACCGAAGGTGGAGCGGGCTTTGTTTACGGATGTAGAAGTCGATGCAGCGCAAATTGGAAACAGTAGCGATCGCAATGAAAGTGGAGCTAGATTAGAATCTGTGGACGTGAAATGCAAGTCTCGAAGAAACACGAGATCGTCAGGTTGCCGGGAAGACGCACAGAAGAGTGACGTCAATGACTATGCGAGTGATGAGTGTGAGACTACCAACTGTGGGGAGCGTCGCAAACGTGAAGATGCAGCTAATTTGGATGAAGGTGCATGGAATGGACTGAATGATTTGTTGCGGAGGAACGGGCTTTCGGCTCTTCGATTTCGTCGTGTTGGATCAGAGGCAGTGCCAGAGCAAGAATCTCTTTTTAGCGTTATTCACGACTTTGGTGTGCAGCTGGAGTGGAAAAACAAGGTAAGAATGCTCAGTGTTTGAGTGGCCCGCGCAGTCTCATTTTGGTGTTGTGTGCTTTTGTTACGCAGACAATCGAAGATTTGTTATTGACGTCTCAACATAATTCCAGAGTTCGAAGCAGGTTGGAGAGGAAACAACAATGTGTGGTAAAAAAGAACGAGGAGGCGCAGAAAGCATTGGAAAAAGCAAAAGCGGAGATCCAACGTCTAGAGGTGGGATGGAGTGGTAATACTATGATGCCGACTCCGGTTCATGTTTGGTCTGTACAGTCGATTATAACCTACTGTGATATATGTTTCATTTGCATGGGGTTGTTGCAGGCTTTGCAGAAAAAGGAACGTGAAAGCACTGAGGTCTTGTCCAGAAAACTGAAGACTTCGTGTCTTCGATTACAGCAGCAGCTCAAGGCTAGCGAACACCGCGTCAAGGCGAAGGAAATTGTTGTCGACAGGATGCAGGCCAAGCTCCAACTGCAAGCGGACAACGAGACTATGAAGAGGGCGCGAGACCGGCACGCTTTTCGCAATCTGCAGAACCGTGACCCACGACGCGCAAATCTACGTGATACTCAGACGCTTGAGACGATCAGTGTGTACGAAGCACAGCGTGAGCAAATGGAGGAGGAGATTGACGACCTGAAATCACAGGTTGCTGCGCTAAATATCGAGCTCCGCGACAAGGACAACCATATCGCGCGACAATCAAGTGCATTCGCGAAACATCAACCTGCAGTTTGGGAGCAGGACCCTGACGAACGCCATACAGGCCACTTTTCTGGATTTACGTCTCCGGCTCATAACGTGCATTGCAGATCGTCCTCAGTCGCTTCAGACGAAGCGATGCTGGAGCAGCTTGAAGCTGCCCGATGCGAGCAGGAACTGGCTGCGACAAAGCTGCGGCGTCGTGAAGTTGCGATGATGAAGAAGATTGCTATGATTGAACGAGAACTGCTTGCATCTCGCGAGACTGTTGGCGAGCTGAAAACAGAAAATGCGAATCTAAAATTGGAGTTGAAGTCACGTCCTAGTATTCGTGATTATCGCTGCAGCCAGCGTCGTACTGACCAATTGGAACGGCAGATCGAAGAGACTAAGGTCGCGCTCGAAGAAGCTGTTGAGTTGAATGGACTGCGCAAGAATAGTGAGGTAAAGAAGTGTATGGAGCATGACCGCGTAAATTGCCGATCGCAACGGAACCGACTTGACAAGTTTTCGCGTGAGAGCGTAGTGGAGGTTATGAAGCACATTTGTCGTGTGTTGCACTTGTCAGACATTGCTCTCATTGTGCCGAGCATCGAAAAGCTCTGCAGTGTCGTTGCAGCAGTCCCACGTATGGAGAAATTTATTCGCGACGTGTGCAGGCTCGTTTCGTTGCACTCGGAGGACAATGGTGAGGCAGCATGCCATTTCAGCTCCAGTACCAAGTTGGAACAGGTTCTTCCGACTTTACAAGTGTGGGTGGAGGAGCGACGAAAATTGCACGCTTTGGAAAAGTTTAAGACGTCGATAATCGCTGAGATTGGCCGGCGGACTGTTGAGTCGACTGTTTTTAACGATGAGGAGGGCAGTAGTCGTGACGAGAACGCGCCTAGTGATTCGACGGCCCTGTCATACATTGTTCATGTTGTTTCTGAGCTAGTGGAACTTGAGAAGAGTGTCATGTACAATCGAGATACGCGCGTTCTCGCTGCTGGACAAGTGGAGGTAAGCTAGATGCCGATTGAGTCGTTTGGGCTATCTTGCTTACCATGACATACGTTTGTGTGTGCGTATCCTTTCAGCGTCATCCAAAGGATCGGATTAACCAGATTGTGAGGCATTTTGCCTACCTTTTTCAAGTTAGAAACGTCGAAGGCATACTTCCCACGATGAACGTACGAACTGCTTGGCTAATTGTAACAATGCATCTGATAATGTTGTCCGATCGCTTTGGCAGGAAACGTATTTGCTAGTGAATGAAATGAAGAATTTTGTCCACGCTGTACGCGACATTCTCCACCTGAGTACGCAGACTACCGATGCTGCCAAGGACCTTAACTCAAATATGGTACAACTAACGCTGAAATCACGTTATTTGATGGTTTACATGTTTTGCAGAGAAAGGGTCTTCACTGGTGCACTGCTTGGATGTCATTAGGGAGCGACTGCAGAAAAGTGCAGTCGACACAATACGTGTGCGTGCAAAAGAGCCAAGTAGTGATGACGCAGAGCAGGACTATGCCTCTGATGACAGTAGTCTGAACTTCGTCGTCGAAAAGTATCGGCCGAGTGCGCACGACAAGAATTCTGGATCTAGCTTAGCAGGCGTCCGGGAAGTACGTGAAATGAGTATCTTGATTCGGGACCTTCAACGTGAGCTGGGGGCAACCGCAATGGATGACATCCTGCCAAGAACACAGCGTTTGATGGAACTTTTGCGCCAATCCATTTATGATGCTGGAGGAGAAGACGACGACGAAGAATACGAACGATCCGTTTACTAGTCAATATGTCGATCATTTGCTAGGTGTTGCTTGGATGTACTACTTCTGATATAGCTTGAGGTTGGAATTCGAATGAGGGCAAAGCATGATCAGGGTAGTGGACAATGCGGTCGACGACATAAACAATGGCACTAAAGCGTACACTGACGCAACCGGCGTGTCCGTCCGGCACGTAGACGCGCGTTTGCTGCGTTTGCTGCCTTTCTCGCCTGATGCCGTGCGCCCAGCAATATAAGTCATTCTTCGACACAGCAAGCCGGGGATATGAGGTCGGGACCTTTCCAGACTCAAGCTGTTGACGAGAATCATATAAATCTTTCCATGATCGAGACCATAAGCTAGGCAAGTTCCGAACTGCGAACATCGTTCGCAGGTTCTTCTTTCGGCGGGTGTTTGGGAAAGATCGCACTGCGATCGTGTGTAAAGTCCGTGCGTCGAAATGGATGGATTGTTTGTCGTGCGTTTTAGCGATAAGGGCTACGCTACATTCTCTTCGTATAATTTTGGGACCGATAGCTTTGGCGTCTCCGGCTCTGTTACTCGCACGGTGGTGCTAGCAACTCCTGAATTGGCAACGACGGCAAGCTCGGAAACGAGAACGTCTATGTCATCAGCCTATGAAAACGTCATATTGGGGAGCTAACTGAGCTCGTCGTGACCGGGTCAGCATTGGATTGGTGCATTAGACCATCGACACGCTTTTGTTTCGAGATATAATGGGCGGTAAAGCTATGGGAAATGCACCACCTGCATCGTCTGGAAGTCAAGCCGTGACGTGAAGCCGGACCAGCATATTGTGTATCAAGACACGATGTTGTGACCTTTTTGCCGTTTTTCCATGTGGTAAGTAAGCGTGTTGTCTTGGTTGTTTCTTGCTTAGATGACGATGTTCCTCGACACTAGTCCCTGTGAAGTACTTCTCTTTCATTGTCGTCGTATACTCCGCCCAATACGATTGCAAACTGAGATCGTGCCAATGAACGTAGCATTCACTCACTCTTTGAGCTTTTGCAGCGTGTAGCCAATTACTGTTTCACGTCGAAATGCTCAGTCTCGCTGGGTACAAAAAGCCGACGTCTCGAGCGCGGTGGTCAACCTTTCGTTTCTCGCGACAACGCTCAGGTCGTCGTCGTACTCACTCGCAGTCACGCAGACATCGAATGTCCTATACACTTTCACGACCACTAGTGACACCAGTCAGCATCGTATTTGTGGCCACCACCAAGTAAATGCCTTGAACGGACTTCTGTTTGTCAAATGCACGAGCGTGGCTCCGACCGCATTTGTCTTCACGCGCTGGCGCTACGAAGTAGTAATGCATCCGCGGACGAGTGACTCGACTTTCAAGTGCGGATCAGCTCTCGTACATACGATCTAGATCAGCGTCATAGTAGCATTGACAACCTCGTACAATGCTGTAGCACAAGCAAAGCATGCTGTGAACCATGTCGATCGTCCATTTGTCCGGTCGAGTAGCAAGCAAAAGCAACAACTGCGACAGCGCCAGGGCTATATATGCTTCCTTTGGTTATGAAACACCAACGTGCGTGAGTATCATCGCAACAAGCATGAAGTCCTGCGCAGCAAGTACAAAGTTCTACAGTTTAATTTGCATAGCAAAAGACAATGGGATGTCATCGAAGGATATGCAGTCGAGGCGCCTAGCTTGACAACGACATGTAGAAAGATATATAGTACTTTGACAGCAGTGTGTCCTTGACCTTCGTTTCTGCCAAAAAATTATGAGTTGATCTTTCGGTTCCCAGTACGCTCAAGTGCAACTACAACATATTCAGCTTGTAGTCGCAGCGAGCTCGTAAACAGAGGCAGATGAGTTTATGATTGACGACATGACATCGAAAACTATCCAGATAATGACGTTCGTACGATGTATCGATCTGATCGATGCTACCAGATATGTTACCGTGCACAGTGCTCCCATCTGGAAGTTTGTGGTAAGTCGGCGAAGACTTCACTTATCCAGCGAAAGATGCAACTGTTCGAATTGTTGGGTGGTGGTACATGCAGCACATCAATTCGATTGATCAAAAGCAAGCCGTAGGTGACAAGGAGAACGTAACCCCTTCGACAAGCTTCAAACACCAAGAACAAGACACTAAGGTTCCCAATCGTTAATGGTGTCTGTAGTGATGATCCGGTGGTTTGTCTGAAACAAACAGACAGATTTAGCACGAGCCCGGAAAAGTCAGACACGGTCTCTACCTTTACCTCGCGGCTTGAAGTTAAGTAAAGGCTATATCAATGCATAGAATTGGTAGTGCCTACATCTACATGACAACGATCAGTCACATTCCACGAACGACCTGAAGTTTACCGATGTCCAGGTTTGCACTCATATATCGAGAGAAGGGTATGCAGTCGGTGGATACCGATACATGATCGACATCTAACGGGCTGAAACGCCGCTGTTATCTACCAAATGAGATTGATTGTGACGAGTATCTGATGTCTACAAGTCCGCCCGACTCGCCGCCATACTGTGGCTACAAAGCCGAACGGCGGTAGCATGTATCAGTCTGTCCGAGACCTTGCCACTACTAACATCAATTGCTACAAATATACGGAGTGCTCGCTTGGCCTCTTGTTTACCAAGCTAAAATGGAGACGGACATGACCAAAGATGGCTTGGAAGAGCTTTAAGAAGCCAACATGATCTCGTGGAAACTCAGAGCGAAGATCAAACAGCTGGGTGTTCATTTTTAAGGAATTTTATGGTTAATTTGGGAGCTTTGTAATCAAACCCAAGAGGATGTGAGACCTTAGCTGGAGCTGACCGAAAGAAGACATTGGAAGAGGAACCAATATAGTGGACCGAGAACAGCAGTGGAACGAAAGGAATGGATCCACCATCCCAGTGAGGTTCATCAGAAATGGAAAGACTATGCTGCGTACGTGCTGCTTTCTCCACGCTTTCAACTTCGCGCTCGATGCACCTTAGGAAGACTGCTGAGTAGCCGATTTAATTGTACGGAACATCTAGCTATGTATCTGCAGCGCACACGACACCATTCAACGCCTTGACTAGCGGTTTGAGAACATTCCCTTCTTGACACGACGTGCTGATACGAACGACAATGCCAACCTGTTTGCTCTATTTGCTTAAGTGACAATAAACCAAATTGAATAAAATCTCCCATGTAGTCACGTTGCTTGTATAGCTACGACTTAGCGACAGTTAACAAGCTCCATCGACACCAATTTGACGTCAGACTGCAGATTACGCAGCTTAGATAAATACGGCTTTTGAGCGGAAGCACTGTGTATCACAAATTATTCAGGTTTAAAACTGGTTGTCCGGTGGCTACATTCGCTTCAGTTGCCTGGCACGACGCTCTTCGAAGTAGCAGCAGCCGGAGGAAATAAACAATGCCAGCTTGTCGGTGGTCTCATGCGTGGTCGTTGCCCGCGACTTCTCCATTCTGTGCGTTCTTCTCGAGTGCGGCCTTGCCACTTGATACAATGACCGAGAGTGACTTCTACTACCGTCTCGACCTTTTCCATCTACAGGATTATTGTGGCCTACGTTGATCTAAAAAATCAATTTAAAAACAGAATGTCGTTGAGCCGGCACAAATCCATTGTCAAGCAATCAAACCAGGCAGGTTACATGTATTTAGATAGTATTGTATGTATATAGAGGTCGAGCAGGTCTCATGATTGGTGACCTACCTACAGCCAAGGATATTTCTGGGATTGTACATATGCCGCGGAATTCTGGGACAAAGGTTTTCATCACTGAAACGCTGGAATTGCAGTTTGACAACTTCTTGCGCTTCTGCAAGCAATATCTGCATTATATCCTCGAAAGAAAAGAAAGTTATCCAATGTCTACAGTATATCCTCGAACGATAAGAAAGTTCTGACAGACTGGTTTACGATACTATGGGTGAGGACAAACGCGTATAGAAGGAAATTTGGCACTTAATGAGTGGCTTGAACTTGTCATGGCAAATGCGACTCAGGGTAGACAAGTATACTGCAGCCTCTGGAGCAGCCATGGTCAATGGTTACAGCAGCAACACCAGCAATCGGCGTTTAGGTCCATGTCAACTCCAAGTTATCGTAAAAAGGAAAGGTGGAAGAATGCGTCAGCCGCATATAACGCCATACTTTACACGTGCATTGGGTTGCTGGACCCAAATACAGTGGGTATCGGGTCCACGGTGACAAGCCACAATACGCCACCAAGTCCACAGGCGCTCATATCCTGGCTCTGGAATTTCCTGAGATCCTGCCGAGCTGACGCCATGTAAATCGACAACCTACACCTCTATTACAACGTGGTGTCAGATAGGAAGTTGGGATGAGTCGGATCAGCTTGACAGCCGACACGGGCATCACAGTCGTGGTGGAGCTGATAACCAGCATGTACTCGAAGCACAGCAGATCAAAAATATGGGTGAGGATCGAGTGTCAACAATCAGCAATACCAAAAGATGGGTCAGAAGGGGAATGGGAAGGTCAAGAGAAGGCCACACGTAATCTTGTCGGTCCTGCCTTCATCGTGGCCGATGCGAACGCCGAATCAAGCAAATTAGCCGAAAGTGAATAGCTTAAGAAGATTGAATCTGTATCTGGCAGCATCAGCAGTTCAAACCATGATGGTGTTACAGTTTTGTTGTTGACGATCCAAAACAGTCATTCAGCTTATGTTTCGACGACAAGCCGCCGTCCTCTTCGGCGTTGTCCAACACGTCCCTTGCTGATTAGCTAGCTAGACACGGGCGCGTGGTGGCGGGTGCGTGGTTTTTTATACCACGCAAAGGGCGTATTGTTCTTGTAACGGGGCACACCCTTGCGTAACTTAACGCAAGGGATTTGGGTGCCCCGACGGACGTACACGTGGCGAGCGAGGAAGCGTAGGTAGGGTAAAAGTAGAACTGTTATATTAATAAATTAAGTCTTTAAACTACTGTCTCTTCGTTTGACTTAATTCAATTATACTAATATAACTGCATGTATGGTGACGTCTCGTCACC